TATCTGTAATGTTTTTCTGTCTACTAGTTCTTTCAATTATTCAGACAGGATTTTTAAAATCTTTGACTATAATTTATATTAATACAAATTAAAGGAGAAGGAACGTAGGTTCAGTTCTCCTAGTCTCCACTGGTGTGTGTGTGTGTGTGTGTGTGTGTGTTTGTGTGTGTTGGTGAGGGGCTTCCCCCGGGGTGACTTAAGCCTACTTTAAGTTTGGTTAATACTCCCCTCCAGCCCTCAGAATAAATATGCTGTCAAAATAAAAACAAAGTGCTTGCTATGAAAACACACCTTAAAGGCAATTGTCTTCTAATTTCCCCTATTCCCTTGCAATCTTATTGCTTTCCCTATGACAGTCCTATATATAAATTCTGGAGATACCACTGTTGGGTAGTGATATAGTATTAGCGGATTTACATGGCTTACACCCTTTATTATTGTAACATTAAAAACAGATTGGCATATTCCTAAAAATTCTGAACAAGTACACAGAGAGACCTAGATTGTTAGGTTTCTGAACTCATAAATTAAAGAAATGGTTTTGGGATTGTCCATATTATACTGTACACGTGGGCTTCAAGAGAATGAAGTATTCAGGTACCAAAACTTTTTGCTAGAGTTATGATCTGGTTTTCTGTTTCCCATTATTGTACTCCAGAGCTGACACAGATAACTGAGAGCTAAATCTATTGTCTGTACACATTTGCACATCTAGCTACCCTTAAAAATACGTTTTGAAATTTAGACTATTGTTTTTAAAATTTAGTTTGAATACTAAATTGATAGATCCTTAAACTTGGTTTATTTACATCACTGTTTATTTACATCGGAGAGGGTTCATGGGAGTTACTGTTTATGGATTATTAAAGATCCCTCAGACAAAGTCAAGGCTCTTGCATGTGGACAGTTCCTTGAATTATAGCACAGAGACTTTAATGCCTACCTCAGGAATGATAGGGGTCTTAAACAGGAAGTCGTATTTACTAAAGAAACCTAGAGTTTTCTTAGATTGCCAACCTTAGCAAGACAAGAAATGTCAGGGTGACAGAGTTTAAGTGGCTCTTTTCAGATTAGTTACACTGATTCTCTATATTTAAGATGCAAAACAGCCTCTCAGGAGCTATTTAATTAAGTGAAACTAAATCTAGTCCCTTTGGAACCAAATGGATCAGTGAGCAAATACATAGCAGCAAGTGAAGGAAGTGGGGGAAGTTATTATGTTCTTCATAGACACGGTGACATTTTGTAACCCCCTATCAGGGTTCCTAAACAGTGATTGGTTGAGAAAATTATCAAATGAGTTTAAATTTCAGCAGGTAGAAAATTGTCATGCAAAAGTCCAGAAGAGTGTGCCACTCTCTGTCTTCAAAGAGAAAGATAAGAAATTCTGGATTTTCAAAGTTCATTTGAAGGCTTTTAAGGTAAGATGGAACATACTCTTTACTAAGAACCAACTGATTCTTCTGGAAAGAAATTTGAATTTCAGGAAGAAGCCAACTTGATTTTAAAAAGCAAGTAGATTTTTTCTTCCCTTGTGACTTGTTAAATTAAGAGTCAATATTGAAAGATAATGGATAATTATGTGGTAAGGGATGCTAATTCCATATTGCATCATGGAAGAATAGAAATTTTTTTCCCCCACAGCTAGCATGTTAAAATATCGGTTGGATATAGTCAGAAAATGTGCAAGCAAGATGAAGTAAATATTTAAAATCTAAAATATTAACAACATAATGCATGAATAAAACAGTTTATGCATAATTCACTAAAGCTCCATCAGTGTTATTTTCATCCAGAAACCCCCCTTTTAAGAACTTTGAATCTAATCAAAGCCAATTTTTAGTCTCAGCATGACAATCTAAGGTATGATGAGATTTAATGAAAAAGGAAAAGTACAATCTCTTCCCCTTTAAAATAGTCATAATAGTAACATTTGAACACTGGACTCTAATGAAAAATAAACATGTATTTAGGAATTTGACTTGACACAAGTTGTATTTATTTCAAAGTCTGGCTAATGCACTGGGTTATAAGCTCCACGAGGGTAAAGCTTACATCTGTTTCCAGGTCACGTATCTGGCCCATAGAATGAACCCCAATTTACACTAAATTTCTTGGTCCCTGAAATCTACATAGATAAAAACCAACGTTTAGCCTGGGAAATGAATTTTTTTGCCATTTGACTTCAGGAATTTTAAAGCCAGACTGAAACACTTCTACTCAGGCTACCTAGAGATACTGACTTTGTCACATTCCTTTTCCCTGTTATGATATCTTGATAGATTTGGGACAAGAAACACGTTACTAAAAAATCAGCAAACTGAGGCGGAAATTTTATAGCTAATTGGTTGCTTTGATTAGTTTAGATAAAAATCAGATAATTCAGATTAAAAAAAAATCCACTTTGGGCTTTCATACAGGGCTTTAATTAAGCTTTGCTTTTCACTGTTTTATTTTAGTAGAACTGCCCCCATAGGGTTTCCAAGGAGCAGCTGGTGGATTCGACCTGCCGACCTTTTGGTTAGCAGCCGAACTCTTTAACGATTGTGCCACCAGGGCTCCTCAAATTACTTAGGCAATTGCTAAATCGTCTCTCATTTGTGACAATAAATGAAATAAACTGAAGAGGGTTCACACAATTCTGTTTCCAGACTGACAAAATATGGGCTCTTTCTATTGTAGTCTTTCAAGCCATTTTACCTGCCTTTGCAAACAATGAAAGCTTTCACTTGCAATGGTTCTGGGGTGGATCTGAAAGAGAGCTAATGTGGCCAGCTTGCTAGATTGCAGTTTAGAAATGGAATGCATCTAGCCCTGGCCTCCATTTCAGTACCTCCCAGGACACCATGGCTCCTCCAAATAACGGTGTAGATTGGCCTTCTACAGTCTGTGTGATATTTAGGTTTGGGACTGCTAAGTACAGCATAACCTTTGCTTACTACACAGCTGTCCTTCAACACCTATGCTCAGAGCTTGGCATTACACTCGTCCTGAGAGGCTGGTTCAGTCTCCTTTTAATTCGTAGCATTTATGAACTTTCTGATGAACAGCTGCAAGAGTAAGCACTTTTTTTTCTTTTTTCAGTAGCTCTGACCTCTCTCCTGTGAGAAAACACCGACAATTCTTATCACAACTGATATGAAGTTTTATTACATTTCCACTATCAATATTAAATTCAGTCAAGGTCATTTTATGACACGTAGCATTATAATCTATAAATCCAGTGGGAGCTCATGATATAGGGGGAAAACACTTCCTTCTATAGCAATAGTATCGTTGCATCAAGAAATTCAACTCAGTAAATACCGGAAAAACAAACCCATTGCTGTCCAGTCGATTGCAACTCATAGTGACAGTAAATAGGAATTTAAAATTTTGATTTACACAGATTATATAATATTTATTTCAAAGTATTGAAAAATACATATTAGACCATTTCTGAATTTGAACTCTAACAGGGATTAAGGATCATGTTTTTGTAAGTCCTACATAATAATTGCTATCATTAATAAAGATATTGCTAAGTACCCAGAACTGTGATAATAAAACAGTTGCTGTTGAGACCAACTTCAGCTCATGGTAACCTCATGTGTGTGAGAGTAGAGCAGTGCTCCACAGGGTTTTCAATGTTTGATTTTTTAGAACTAGACCAGCAGGTCTTTCTTCCAAGGTGCCTCTGGATAGATTTGAACTTCTACCCTTTTGACTAGCAGCTGAGCATGTTAGCTGTTTACATCACCCAAGGACTCCAAAAATGCGCTAGGCACTGTTTATACTAAACCAAAAACAAAACCTTTGCTGTCGAGTCGATTCCAACTCATAGCGACACTATAGGACAAAGTAGAACTGCCCCACCGGGTTTCCAAGGAGCAGCTGGTGGATTCAAACTGCCGTCCTTTTGGTTAGCAGCCATAGCTCTTAACCACTGCACCACCAGGTCTCCCTGTTTATCCTAATAAGTATTTATTCAACAACATTCCTAAAACGCCTTTTTCTCTGCTATGCATTGGAATATAATAATCACTAAGACACTCTCTTGGGCCCCAGGAACTCACAGAAGGGCAGGCAACATATAAGTAACCAACCAAAAAAAACAAACCAAACCTGCTGTTGTGGAGTTGATTCTGACTCATAGTCACCCTATAGGACAGAGTAGAACTGCCCTATCAGGTTTCCAAGGACTCGCTGGTGGACTCAAACTGCCGACCTTTTGCTTAGCAGCTGAGCTCTTAAACACTGCACCACCAAGGCTCCAGACAACTTTAAAACAGTGCAATGTGCTGCCACTGAGGTGTGCAGAGGTGTAAAAAAGGAGAGGGACACCAAGCACACTTTTAAATGGAGTCAGATAAGGCTTTCCAGAGAAGATTCTTCCGCTAAAACTCAGAATAATCTTGATGTGAAGATATTATTATCTTTCCAGATGATGGAAACAAAGGCTGAAAAAAGCCACTTAAATTTCTCAAGATCAGACAGCAAGTATCAGAGATAGAATATGAACCCAGGCCTCTGTGAACCCAAAGCTCCCTTGTTAGTAATTTCTTTCCCTGACAGTTTAATATAGTCCAATTGTATGGATTTTGGTAGGGGTTACAAGTACATCATCTTTTAAGTTCATCTTAGTAGAATTAGTTAATACTTGATTAAAGCTATTCAGAAGTTATTAACATCAGGAACAGCAGAAGGACAAAGTTATGGCTATACCCTTTTCACCTACATGGTTGTTTCCCTCCATTGGCCTGGGCAGAAGAAGTGTAGGTAGCTGCACCAGTGCTGAACTTGGTGGTGCCCCTGTACGTCTCCATGACCACTCAGGTATGTTCTGGAACATCAAGTCTTGACAGTGTTCTTCTCATTTTGGATATGTACTCCTTGCCAAGGAATAGGGAAAATGCTTATAGAACAAAACAAGGCATTACTGTGGTTATCATTTTTTACTTTATAAGTAATTCTGTGCTGTCTTTTTTTTAAACAGCCATTGATTAATATTCTTAGAGAAAATGAAGATAATTATGTACTTTTGCATTTGGGCAGCAGCATGGGCCATTCCAGTAAGTATACCTTCTTCAAAAACCTCCTTACTGTGCTGTGTCTTTTAACCGTACATAAATTTTTTTTCCTTAGACTTTGTAGCTAAGTTGAATCTAAACACTTAGATTTGCATTGAAGACTTTACAAGGTACCTTTAGGGTCTCAATAAAACCAAACATGCCCTCCAATTAATATTCTGATTCTTCCAACTGACACTCATGTCTTGTCAGAAGGGTACTTATTTTAAAAATTCATTCAGATTAATTTGCATCTGATGCTCAGAAGTCATGGAGACTTTATCCATCTTTGCTTCCTGCTTTATGAATTTCATTTTAATAGCAATGAAGTCTCTATTGTTCAGAAAGTTTCCAAGAAAGAATATAAGGAAAAAAAAGGATTTTTTAAAATATATGAGAAAAGCAATGTTTCTCTCATAGAGTTATTGTTTATATCTCTATAAAATTAATGATACGCTCACTGTGGAAAATCTGGAATATACAGGTAAACACAGATAAAATTAGAAAAATGAAACCATTTATTATTTTATTAGCCAGCTCCCATGATTAACATTTTGGCCTATTCTCAGAATATCAAAATTTTGGTATTTATGTAGTCGAGAATTTTCTCATGTGTGTCTCAAATGTGCTCCTGAAGAGCACAGAAGTAGCATATTTCTTAATTTTGTTTCTGCACCAGCTCCGGTCACACCTACTACTCTTCTTAGGGGCCTTGTGCTATTGCAAGAGGCTCATTGTACATGAACACCAAAGGTCTACCTCTTTTTCTTTAGAGAAGATGATTTTCCTTCTACAATTAGTAAGACCATTGGGAAAAATATCTGTATGCTGGCTTAAACCCTGTAAAAAATCACTTCTCTTTTCTACCTAATTAGATTGTATTTTGGCCTTTGTCTCCTATTTTTTTCTTTTCTTTTTTGGCCTCATTTAGGAAAAGAAATGCATGTGTCTGTGTGTGTGTGCCCACACGCATGCATACACATGCACACATATGTACTCAAAATAATTTTTCATTTTGCAATATTTTTGCTTTGACAGGTTCCTCAAACCAAACCCTTGGAGAGACATGCTGTTGATCAATCTTTGAATTTATATGTACTAGCAAAATCCAGTGTGCCAATACAGGTATAGAATATTTTCTGTTTCTAAGCTTTCTTTAGATTCCATTAACTTCCCCCAAATTTTCATCCATCTTTTGTTTGCTTTACTTGAAGATGGAATCCATAATGTATTTTCAATTGTTACTCTCTTTCAGGATGAGTTAAATGCCAATGACACCACCAAAGAAAATGGTGTCCCCATGCATGAAAGTGAAAGAGGAAGGCAACAGTATACAGAAAACAGTTGCAAAGGAGAGGGGAATGGCTCTGAGTGTGCAGAAATAGGAGGAAAGAGTTCTTACACACATTCCATGTTAGCAGATGCAGCAAATATCGAGGATGAGAATGGGGGCACAGAAAAACCAGAAACATACGGTCATGATGCGATACATGGAAATGAAGATAACATCACAGTAAGTGGCATCGGAGGAAAAGTAAACATCATTGACAACGTTGGAGCAGCAACTGTGAGCAATGTTAATGGAAATACTGATAAGAATATAATAAATGGGGATGTAGGAGATCCAAGCCAGAGTGAGAATGCCACTGTTGTCCCTGAAGATGGAAATCAAGTAGCTGGAAGCAATAATAGTACAGACCACGAGGATGCAATAAATGGGAATTCCTGGGGAAATGAGAGCAATACAAATGAAATAACACCTCAGAGGGAAGGTGAGATACATGGGAATAAGGAGGCTGCAGCAACTCCAGGGCGAAGAGGAACTGACAATGGAGAAGGTACTGGCCTGAGTGATTCTGATGGGAGTCCTAGCGGGAATGGAGCAGAAGAAGATGAAGACAAGGGCTCTGGTGATGAAGATGAAGACACGGGGGATGGAAATGAGGGTGCCGATAACAGCAATGGCCAGGAAGGTCAGGGTAATGGAAAAGAAGACAATGAAGAAGGCAATGACAATAGAGTAGGTCAAAATTCAATCAGTACTGAAGATGATGACCCTGAAGATAAAGAAGATCCTCATAATGAAAATGATGGTGACAACACCTCCAAGAGTGAGGAGGATTCTGACGGTATTCCAGAAAACAACGATGACAAAAGAATAAAGAACATCAAAGAACTCAATCACAAAGAAAGTAAAAGTGTGGACAATGGAATCACTGCAGAATCAGAGCCAAGCACTGCTGGGAAGAGCAAAGATAAGGTTAGTTTGTAAAACTGATTTTTTCAACACAGTTTAAATCCTCCCCCCCACACCACTGATGATCAGCACAACAATAAATCATGACAAGCACCCGTGTACTGTGTATATTTACACACAAATTACTTGAATATTTAAATGTGAAAGATAGAGCCATTACTTGACTTTGATATAGAACAATCTTGAAAATCAAGCATTTCTGAAGATTTGGTTACAATTCTAGAAAATATCTTATGCTAAATTGTGGATGCATCATGTAACTACTTACGAAAGTTCCCACTTGGCAGAAATGTGGATGGATTTTTGTAGGACCTAAACACCAGAGCTTTCAAGTACTGAGTAAGGCATATTTTACAAATAACTGCTTCTGAAGTAATGGCAGTTAACTCATGTTTGTCTGGATGCTTTCTTTCCCCAGTCGGTCTCCCTCAGACCAATGCAATTCTGCAGCAAAACATTCACTAATCAATCATTCGTTTCTCTATTGTTTTATAGGGAATAGAAATTAAAGGCCCCAGCAGTAGCAACAGAAATAATATTGCCAGAGAAGCTGGGAAAGTCAACGAAGATAAAGAGAGTAAAAGACAACATGGAACGATCATGGGCAAAGGAAATGTCAAGACACAAGGAGAGGCTGACAACATACAAGGACCAGGCCAGAAATCAGAACCTGGAAATAAGGTTGGACACAGCGAAACTGGCAGTGACAGTAATAGTAATGGATATGACAGTTATGAATTTGATGATGAGTCCATGCAAGGAGATGACCCCAATAGCAGTGATGAGTCTAATGGCAATGATGATGCCAATTCTGAGAGTGACAATAACAGCAGGAGTCGAGGAGATGCTTCTTATAACTCTGATGAATCAACTGATAATGACAATGACAGTGACTCAAAAGGAGACAGAGATGATGCTGAGAGTGACGACAGCACACCAGACGCTAACGATAGTGACAGTAATGGAAACGGTAACAATGGGAGTGAAAACAATGGCAAACCAGAGAGTAAATCAGACAGCAGTGACAGCGGTGACAGTGACAGCAAATCAGACAGCAGTGAGAGCAGTGATGGTGACAGCAGTGATAGCAGTGACAGCAGTGACAGTGACAGCAAATCAGACAGCAGTGAGAGCAGTGACAGCAGTGATAGTGACAGCAAATCAGACAGCAGTGAGAGCAGTGACAGTGACAGCAGTGACAGCAGTGACAGCAGTGACAGTGACAGCAAATCAGACAGCAGTGAGAGCAGTGATGGTGACAGCAGTGATAGCAGCGACAGCAGTCATAGCAAATCAGACAGCAGTGACAGCGGTGATAACAGTGACAGCAAATCAGACAGCAGTGACAGCAGTGATAGCAGTGACAGCAGTGACAGTGACAGCAAATCAGACAGCAGTGACAGTGACAGTAGTGACAGCAGTGACAGTGACAGCAGTGAGAGCAGTGACAGCAGTGAGAGCAGTGATAGTGACAGCAAATCAGACAGCAGTGACAGCAGTGATAGCAGTGACAGTGACAGCAGTGACAGCAGTGACAGCAAATCAGACAGCAGTGACAGCAGTGATAGCACTGCCAGTGACAGCAGTGACAGCAAATCAGAAAGCAATGACAGTGACAGCAAATCAGACAGCAGTGAGAGCAGTGGCAGTGACAGCAGTGATAGCAGCGACAGCAGTCATAGTAAATCAGACAGCAGTGACAGTGACAGCAAATCAGACAGCAGTGACAGCAGTGATAGCAGTGACAGTAAATCAGACAGCAGTGAGAGCAGTGACAGCAGTGATAGTGACAGCAACTCAGACAGCAGTGATAGCAGTGACAGTGATAGCAGTGACAGCAGTGACAGCAAATCAGACAGCAGTGATAGTAGTGACAGCAGTGAAAGCAGTGATAGTGACAATAAGTCAGATAGCAGTGACAGTAAATCAGACAGCAGTGACAACAGTGATAGCAGCGACAATAGTGACAGTAGTGATAGTAGTGACAGTAGTGACAGCAGTAAGAGCAGTGATAGCAGTGACAGTAGTGACAGCAGCGATAGCAGTGACAGCAATGACAGCAGCAACAGCAGTGACAGCAGCGACAGCAGTGACAGCAGCAACAGCAGTGACAGTAGTGACAGCAGTGATGGCAGTGACAGCAGCAATAGCAGTGATAGCAGTGACAGCAGTGATAGCAGTGACAGCAGTGATAGCAGCAACAGCAGTGTCAGTAGTGGCAGCAGCAGTAGCAGTGACAGTAGTGACAGCAGTGACAGCAGCGATAGTGACAGCAGTGACAGTAGTGACAGCAGTGACAGTAGCAATAGCAGCAACAGTAGTGACAGCAGTGACAGTAGTGATAGCAGTGACAACAACAGCAATGACAGTACATCTGACAGTAGTGATGAGAGTGACAGCAAGAGCAAGTCTGGTTATGAAAACAACAATGGAAGTGATAGCGACAGTGACAGTGATGACAGTGAAGGCAGTGACAGTAATCATTCAACCAGTGATGATTAGAACAAAGAAAAAAACCACGAGATTTCTTTTCTGAAAAGTTTGGCAAATAATTGATAAGAAATAAAGATTTCCAAGAAAGTAAAGAAAGGGGAGAGAGCAACGGAAGACAGATATATATATATATATATATATATATATATATATATATACCTGACCTCAGAAACAACTTGGGGAATAAAATCAAACATTGGCTTTGGCTTCAAGTCCCCAACTCTCTGAGAGAGAGAAGCTGAATGCCTGTCCTCTGGTTGCATGCATGTTAAAATACATTCACATGATGAATATATTTTGTTAAGAGTGTAAATCTAAATATGAAAAAACAGTCTGAAACATTCTTTAATATTTTACACAGAAACCTCAAGTGATCACTCTCTATATGATAACTTCAATTCAAATGCCACATGCTTTAGAGAATATGGCAAACCAATACATCTTATGAACAATCTATGCCATTGCCTTAATCCTCCAATAATTATCCATTCTGGATAGACGATATGCCTACTGCTGACTAAAAGATACTACTATGGTGATATGACTTCTAGCTTGGCTACAGATTCATTTGCTTATTCTAAGGAAGACATACACTTGTAACATGGGGAAAAAAATCACAGCAACTATTTAACCCATCTGGGCAACGGTAATAATCTTTTTAAAAAACAGAGTAATTATAAATAATGGAAATTCTAAAGAGTACTCACCAGAGAAGAATTCTGAGGCTGGCTTAGAAAATAAAATCTGATGTATAGTATTTCATTCCTACATACCACTGGATATCCAGCACGAAGTCTCTAGAATCATTGATAAACTCGATGTGGTGCTTAGAACAGTGTCTTGCTCACAGTAACCATTCCCCAAATATTAATAAAGAAATGAATACGTGAATGAATGACTCTTAGGGGGAGGTTCATTTTTTGAGCTTGAGGTTGACTCTATGTTCAGAATTTTGTTAAGTGATAGCAGCTGCTTGTCATTCACGTCCGTCTCACCAAGACAAACTTCGTTCGCTTTTCTGTTTTAAACCCCCACCTGCTAAAATTTGCAAACCAGACTCTGAGTCTCCCTTCCTGCTATTAATCTCTTTAATAAAGCCAACAGTTGCTGGCAGATAATGCTTTGGAAAGCTCTTTCTTTTCTGAGAGTCATATATATAGCTAAAATCTGAGCATAGATCATTCAGTTTTTGCATAAATGAAGTTAATTCTTAGTCTTGGAATTCATCAGAACCTAGACCATGAGGATCTCAAAGGTATATGAGAACAGAGCACGATATTTAAAAGGGTGAAAATATAATGTATCACCTAACTAGGACTTTTTTAAGGGTAAAAGGGGTGTTACGAGTATTACACTGAGGCAGGAGGTTTAAATGGGAGTTGTTCCAGGGAAAGTGGGAGGTACAATGACCATAATCTATAGGGTATTTTTCAGGATTTAGTAGTGATGATCTGTAATTTCCTTCCTTTTCCACTTAACGCAATTACCTTAGATTTGTTTGAATTCAGAGGTAACATCTACACAGTGGAGTTATGAATACGACTTCCTTAACGTTAATTTTCAACCAGTCCATAGTTGACAATTTATGTTCTAAAAACATTAGCCATATTTTACACAAAAAGTTTTGCAGAAGGTGTTTTCCTGCCTGCTTTCTTCCTTATGCAAGAGTTTATTAGTTAAGAGATCAGTATGGCAATGAATATCAATGAAGGCTTTAAAAATACTGCTATTCATAAACTACTTGCTAACTCATAATACTCTAAAATCCAGGCTTTGACTACATCACAGTCATGCAAATGACTCCAAACTTGTTTCCTTAAAATATGCTCTAGGTTTTTACCTCCTTTAAGCTTCATTTTTGTTTTTGTTTTTTTTCTAACATGTAAGCTGAGGCTTAGAGTACCTGTCTCATCTATTTCAAAGAGTCGTTAAGAGCACTAAGTCCAGCAATGGATGTGAAACTCTTTGTACAACATATGTAAATGAAAGAGATACATTTCTGTGATATAATAAACATTTATTTACATGATTGTTCATGAGGAAAACTCCCTTCATCCTAAAGAGTTTGCAAATGGTTGGCCCTCCAACACAGTTTTAAAAAGTAACTGGCTATTCTTTTTTCGTTTATTGTTGTAGTTTAAATGAAGTTTACATTTCAACTTAGTCTCCCATACAAAAATTTATACATACATTGTTATGTGACCTTAATTGCTCTCCCCATACTGTGACAGTACACTCCTCCTTTCCACCCCTGATTCCCCCTGTCCATTCACCCAGTTCCTAACCCTCCCTGCCTTCCCATCTCACCTCCAGACAGAAGCTGCCCATTTAGTCTCTTGTATCTATTTGAGCTAAGAGGCACACTCCTCACGAGTATCACTTTATGTCTCACAGTGTAGTCCAACCCTTGTCTGAAGAGTTGGCCTCGGAAATTGTTTTAGTTCTGGGCTGATAGAGAATCCAGGGGCTATGCTTTCTGGGGTTCCCCCAGTCTCGTTCAGACCATTAAGTCCGGTATTCTTACTAGAACTTGAGTTCTGCACCCCACCTTTCTCCTGCTCCATCCAGGACTCTCTGTTGTGTTCCCTGTCAGGGCGGTCATTGGTGGGTAGCTGGACACCAACTAGTTTTTCTGGTCTCAGGCTGATGAAATCTCTGGTTTATGTGGCCTTTTCTGTCTCATGGGCTAATACTTTCCTTGTGTCTTTGGTGTTCGTCATTCTCCTTTACTCCAGGTGGTTGGGACCAGTTGATGCATCTTAGATGGCGGCTTGCAAGCTTTTAAGACCCCAGACGCCACTCACCGAAGTAGGATACAGAACATTTTCTTAATAATCTTTGTTATGCCAATTGACCTAGATGTTCCCTGAAAACATGGTCCCCAGACCCCTACCCCTGCTACTGTGTCCCTCAAAGTATAACTGGCTATTTTTAATGGAAAAAGTAATAGATACACATACACACAAAATAAAAACTTCAAACACTATAAAAAGATATACAAAATTATTAAGTCTCAATCATCCTAGACTCCTACCCTCCTATTTCTCTTCCCCAGAGGCAATTCTGCTAATATCTTATGGAACTTTCCAGAAATACTCTTTGCTCTTATAAGCACATATGTTCCCCTTTCAAAACACACAGAAGTCTACTATATGCAGTGTTCTCATCTTACTCTTTTTAGCTTAACGATATACCTTGAATATTGGTTCACAGCACACATCTCTACCTTATTATTTTTCATATAGTTGTATTTCATTTTATGAACCTTCCCCTATTTTTCCATCATGTTATAAATCATTTTCAGTCCCATGAGAGTCTCTGCAGATATCACTTGAGTCAAGAGCCTATGCTGGATACATTTCCAGCCAGTTCCTATAAAGACCTCACCTTAAGGACTGTTCCTGGCCAAAAAAAAAGAAAAGAAAGAAAGAAAAGATGGTCAGAATCTGGTGCTGATGTCAGACACAATGAAAGATAAATATGACACTAATTTTCTTATGTAGTCATATCTGCATTGACCTCTAGACCTTGGAGGCAAGAATGAGGCAGGTACACCGCAAAAGAACATCTCAAGAGTTGATTATTTGAATACAAGAAGTATGGTATTAGAAAACAAAATTTGTTTTGGGTTATTTTCTGGGATAAAGACTAACAAGCTATCTGCAAATATTGCCCATGAGAACAGTATTTTTTAAAGTTCAGGTTGCCACTTATTTAGTAGGTCATGATATCAATTTAGTGAGTCATGACCAACATTTTTTTTTAAAGGAAAAAATAGAAACACAATCAGAGTACATCATATGTAGTGTTTCGTGAAATTTAATTGTGTCTAACTATATATATGGACATACACATATACACAAATATGCGTAAGTATGCATATACCAGGGCATGATGTAAAGTGTCTTTCTTACTGTTGGTTGCAGTGAAAAAAGTTTGGAAGCTACTTATTATTTAGAAAAGCATTATAAAAGCACTAATACAACTACTACTAATTTTAGATTTACTGTTCACATTCACTTTTTTTCTGAGTCTTTCCTCCACTTTTGAAGTGGTGATTAAAAAATAAGCAGTGTGTGTGTGTGTGTGTGTGTGTGTGTGTGTGTGTGTGTGTGGAGGGTGGAAGAATGGTGTTGGGGACAGATTTCTGAATTTATTTCTGCCATAGTAAAAGAATCAAGTTAACATTATCACCTTTGAATAAGGGCCTATGGTGCTGGAGGGTTTGTTGGGAATTTAAAAGATTTCTTTCTTGTTGCATGGATTACTCCACATATAACTGAAACCACAAGATCTGAAAGCTGGCTCTCAGAGGTCATCTTGTGGCTCCCCACCTGACCCAGGAGTTTCTTCTGTACCTACCCACACTACAAACCAGGAAATGTACTGAGGTCTTTCTTTTCTTTTTTGTTATAAAATCTATTTCTTACATGAAAAGATAATTTAGAGAGTCATACCTTGCTATATAAATGTATTATAAATTATTAGCTGGAATGGGATTTCTCAGAAGTCAAGCTTGATTTATGACTTACGTTCGAAGTTTTGAAAACTGTAGACCAAAATAACTAAGGACAATTTTCCTTTCCCTAAAAGGAGCAATAACAGAATAGAATAGCTCAGCCAGAGATAAAAATACCAGTATGTTCTCACAGTGATCCATTCACTGCTCTTGGAAGCAAATCCTCTGGAGAATGAAACAAGTCGACACAATGTTCCCAGCCTTTCCCTTCTGAACAGGGATCTTGGGTTCAGATGCTTAAAAAAAAAAAAAAAAAAAGACTGAATTCCTATAGGGTGCCCACGTAGTTCAGAAAAATGGTATAAAGTCTAAAGATCACCAGTAACTCAGATTTAATATATTTTCCATTAATTAGTACAGTCCCAACTCCGGCATGAAACCTTGAATTTACCGAGAGCGTTATCATAAGGAGCTTTCATTATTTTGGGGTTTGCCACTGGCTACCCCTCTCCTTCCCTCTCTTACTCTCTTTCCTCCTTTTCCTCCCTAA